AGAAGAGAAAAAACGACATTCTGTTTTAATTGGTTGTTCGTAATTTAAAGTGAAAATAGAATGAACAAAAGATACACACACGCACATGTTTGATGGGTTTTATTTACACAAAAAAAAAGAACGAGAAGGAAAAGAATAAATTTGCATGTAAAGGAATTTGTGTTTTTTATAAAAACAGAATTCGTGTTAGAAAGTTACAGACAACAAAAGAAGACGATGTTTTATATCTGGCACACGAAAAGAACAACACAAAACTAGAGACTCTGCATGCTAAAAAAAAAAGACGAAGAAATGAAGGACGAAGAATTGAGTTTGTTTTGTTTTTATTTAAGCGTAAATTTTTGCTATTGAATCTGCTCCAACACTGGCCATATAAGGTTTTGATGAATGAAATGCAACGTCATGTATGGATTCATCATCTTTCTTTTGATGAACTGTTAATTCTTGTATACAATTTTTGGTTTCAATATTCCATAAACGTATTGAACGATCATGACCTTAAAATAAATGAATAAATTTTTGTTTTCTCTTTTAGAAATTTATTATTCTTACTGCCAGAGAGAAGACATGATTGTTGTGGGTCAATTGCTAATGATGTGACAGTATCTAGATGAGCTACCATTGAATGTATCATTCGACCTGAAAACAAAATTCAATGTTTGTATTTTTCATTATAATCTAGACATTTCTTTTTACCAGAATTACTATCAAAATATCGTATTTTGCTATCATCATGTGCAGTGACAATAATTCCTTGTGATGGGTGGCTAATTATTCTATTTATTCGATAATTTGGATCTGATGTTGAATTATCATTAATAAGTTGTGATATTACTTTTCCAGTTTCTGTATCATAAATAACTGTTTTTAAAGAATCATATGTTGCCACAAATCGATTCGTATCTTGATTTAACCAATCAACTGATATTGGAACATCATCATCTGAAAAAAAACAAACTCTAATTAAGTAATACTACAAAATTCGAATAATTACTATTAAATATTGATTGTAATGGTTGAGTTAAATTTGGATCCCATAATCGAATAGATTTATCCGATGAACATGATAATAGTTTTTGACCGGATATAACTAATTGCCAAACAGCATCTGTATGACCTTCTAATACTTTGCACAAGACACTTGAATCTTTTAATAAATATAGATATAGTTATATTGAAGAATACAATAATAAATGATCTATTTACCATATGAATCGTATGGATCAACTTCAGAATTTGGAATATTCCATACGGATATAATTGAATCAAGACCACCGCTATAACACTGTTCTCCGGATGGATTCATTGCCACGCACAAAACGGGACCACTAGATTAAGCAAATAAATTCAATTATGTCGAGTTTAATTAAACATACGTATGTCGTCGAAATGTATAAATTGGTTCAAGATCTTGTGCTGTTGATGCTGATCTAAAGTGACAGAGAAAATTTTATATTTTTTATAAATAAAATTTCAATCTTACTTTCTTAAAACCGCTGATTTTTCTAAATTCCATAATTTAAGTGTACGATCTTCTGAACCAGTTACAACAACTGATTCAACTGGATGAAAAGCAACGCAACGTATTCCATCCAAATGACTGGAAAAAAAAGACTTATTAATCCTATGAGAATAGCAGATACAAAAAGAAACTCATTACCTCCGTAAAATATATTTAACATTCCATGTCTTTCGAAAATCAGATGATTCACTTGTTGTATTCTAAGTAAAAATTATTAAATAAGAAGAATTTTTTGTAATTAAAATACAAAACAAACTTCATCTTGTGTTTCATTATCATTTAAAACTGTAACACGTGCTAATTCATCAAGACCTTCTACAGGATTATCTCCCATAAAATTTTTACTATTTCGAAACATCATCGTATCAACCATTTCACGATTAACTATCGAAAGAAGGAAATTTATTGATTTAATTTATTTAATTATTTATAAAATACTTTGTTCATCGTCTGAAAATGCACGTTGCTCAGAAGATATATCATCATTTCCATTATTAAGTAGACTATTTCGAATCGATGATGAATTTGTTGATTGATATTGTTGTTGTTGATGTTGTTGCTGCTGTTGTTGTTGTTGTTTACCATGACGATCACGTTTATATTCTTCTTTAAGACGAGATAATCGAGATTGATCAACATCCCATTCATTACTATTAATTTCTGTAAAAAAAAAAGAATTATTAAATTCAAAAAACTTCCGAAATAATTCAATTACCAGTTGATTTCATTTCATTTAGATTGGCATTTGTTGCAGCATCTCCAGTAAGAAAATCAAATTCATGTAATGCAGCTTCTTCACTGTCAAGATCATTAAGTGTATCAAGACCAGAGTTATGATTCGTTGTATTACCATTATTTGATTTGATCATTATACGGCTAGTATCAATATCGTCCTCACTGAAATATAACATTGGTTTTTTTATTGAGAGCAAAAATAAATGATTTTTACCTTGATTCGTCATCGGGTTGATCTTCTTTAAGAAAGACAAGTGATGCGAGAACTGATTTGCTTAAATCACTTGTGGCATTTTTAATAATATTTGGAATGATTCTATCAAATAGAATATATATATATTTATTCATCTTAATGATTAATTTTCATTTACCGTTTTGAGTCATTCATTGGTTTAATATCACCATTTAAACCGGTATTATTGTTATTATTATTATTATTATTGTTATTATTATTGTTATTATTTCCATTTAAATCTGCTTCACTTTTAATTCCAAGTAATTTCTTAACAGCTGTTGAACGTATATCAATAATTGTATCAACATAACCAATTTCTTTTAAATATCTAATTAAGATAACAAAATTTTATTCAATTAAATATATATATATATATATAGAAATAACATACTGTCGAAGTAATTGACGACCTTGTTTAAAAGATACACTACTGCCACCAAACGCTAAATTTGGATCATCTTTATTCTCATCTGAAAAACTTTATTAAATTAATAAATTCTAAATAGAATCTTCTTACCATCATCAAAATTCGGTGGTTCATTTGCTGCTAGTTTTTGATCTTCTAATGGAATATTTTCACTTCCATATTTCAATTTGTTAAATTTCAATCTAAACAAAAAAAACGAATCCCATGAGAGATTATGTATGTGTTTTTTTTTACGAGAAAATTATATATGTCCCTTGAGAGATAAGTAACTATTAATTATTTATCGATTATAAAATTTTACCTTTCTTGTTTCAATGCATATTCAAGCATTTTGATACGTCTAACAAGTGCATTTTTGAGATTTTCTTGTCCTTGTCTTTCACCTTGAAGAAAAGCAATTCTTGCCTAGAACACAAAAAAGAAGGCATTTCCATTAACGATATCATTTTTTCAAAGTAGAATTAATACTTGAAATTCTGCTCGTTCGGTTTCCCATTGTTGTCGTTCAATTTCAAATCTAGTCCATTCATGTTGAAGAAAATGAAGTATACCAGGTACTGTATATAATGGACGTGGTGAATCGACATTTGTCATCGCTGATGATGTTGTTTGGGAATCTGTCTGATAAGATATATGTGTATCACTACCGTCCATTCGGGTGCATATCGATTAAAAAAAAATTAAGGGGGAAGAAAAAAATATATGTATATATATGTATATATAATTATTAATCTGAAATAATGAAAATAATCAGTCTATTATTTTATTTAACATTGAAAACTTCTATATGTTTGTATTTCATCAACTATTTTTTGACATTCATCATCATCTAATTTACTATCTAAAGATGGAATTAATGTTTTTGCTTCAATTGCTTGTTGAGGACAAAGATTAGCAAGTAATGCCGCTTCGAATTTATGTAAAACAGGTGTTGGATTTGATGTTGTCATACCATTTGTTTGATCTTTGGGAAAAAGTAAATTTCTTACAGCACCAATCGCTTCTTTTGTTTTAAATTTACTAAATCGTTCACAATAAGCAACTGTATCATTGAATGCTTCAGATAATGCGATTTCATCATCATCATCAATACCAAGATTTGACATACTATTTGGATTTGTTTGTTGTTGTCGACGTTGTTCAAGCATTAGTAAAACTTCTGATATCATCATTGGTTCAGCTTTATCAAATTCTTTTGGAAATTTAAGCTGAGCAGCATCTTCATCATCCTAAAACAATTGAAACTAAGATAAATTTTATTCAGATTTTTCTTTTATTGATATACTTGATTTGGTATTGACATTGTTAGTTATTAGGTTGAAATTAAAAATGAAAGTTAAATATACAAACAATAAACAAATAAACAATAAGAGTACAAGAGAAAGAAGAAATACTTCTCGCTTGAAGCATTGGTATTATTAGGAATGATAATGGATGACAACTAATCAAAATATAATAATAAATATTTTATATTTAATTCGATTTTATGAATAATAAAATGATTTATTTCCAAGAAAAAAAAGAATAGGATTTTTTTTTAAACAAAATTTTATGCGACACCTATTATGAAAATAAAGATTTCAATGATATAGAGCGACCTCTTCATATATCTTACATCATTTTTACTTCAAGTTTAATTTCTCATTTATGATATCCGATTCTAACAAATTAAATTTTATATTCTTTTAATATTTGTTTCGTTCTTTAGAGAATATATATATACATATTCTTATATCATTCATAGCATTAATAATATTTTCTTTTCGATGTGGTGATAATTGTTCATCAATATCAATTGGTTGTTACGAAACATAATTGAAGCACATAATTGTCAACACACCTTTCTATATCGGTCGTTGATCATTATAGTAGATCTAATGAGAGAGAACGTAAATTTTGTAACCTTTTTTTATACTTGATGTATAAATCAATGATTTATTTGATAGATAGAACAAAACAGAGTTTACACTGAAAGAAAAAGTTATATTTCTTTTTGACATATCAAGGAAAGAATTGAAGCAAAGATTTCGCGAAGACTTTTTCGAAAAGCATGTGAAGTAAGAAAAATGAAAAATGATGCTGCACTGTAACAACTGAGAAGAAAAGAAGATATTAAAAATAAAATAAAATTTTCTATAGCTACTCTTTCTATTGATTTTGATTCTCCAATAATAAGAGTTACAGCATAATAGATGCTTTCAATGGGATATGATATTGTAAAGAACATATAAACAATTATCTGTACGAATAACATTTTACATAATTGACGATCATTCTTATAAAGACGTATTTTTTCCTTCTTCTGACAAACCCCTTCTTCATTAGATATTAAAATACGTACTGGAGCAACATTACGTAACATTTGTCGTAGATTTCTATATGCCAAAATACTGAATATTATCATGAGACTAGTAGGAAGAATAGCAGCAACAAAGCAAATGTAGATGGCATGGGAAAGAGCTCCGGCACTTGTCCACATTGAACATTTGCCATTTTGAATACTGGTTAGAAAAGGAATATGAAGTGGAATAATAAACCATATTATAGGAACAAATAGAATGATTCGTAAAACATATTTTCGGTGACAAAGATCACGTATGTGAACATTTCTTGATGTTTGAGCATAGCAACTTATACAAGCGAATGTTAAATATGTTCGTGAAATACTTAATAAAACATTTCGAATATATAAACGAAGTTTACAATAGATGCGATTCGAGTTTTCAAGTGGTGAATTGTAAGTTGAATAGATTGTTGGTATTATATAATAGAACATAACAATGGTATTGGCTATAGAAGCAGCTACAAAGAAGACAGAGCAAGGATTATAACGTAGTTTTTTATGAAGAAATACAAGACAATTAAGAATATTTCCAATAGTACCAATAACAAGAAGTATGCCTAGTATAATAGTAAGATATTCTTGGATGAGATTAAGTAGATCGATTAACGACGACGACGACATATTTATTTTTATAATGAATAGAATTATTCTATGTATGCTATAGAGTAGAAAAGATTTTCGAATAAGCTTTTGTTTTTTAAATAGTTAAGCATGAATAAAATGTCTGCCACAACATAATTAAATAAATTAGGATCAAAATAACTGAAGTAGATTATGAAAATAGCTGCTTTTTTTCCTCATTAATATGAAATATAATGAAGAGATGGATTAGAACCTAAGTGTCATTGAGATTAAAGATGAATCTGAATGTTAATGTTAACAGAAATGAACGTAGCAATTTCTAACATATCTTTTATTAAACTAGAGTAGTTAATATAATTACTTGAATCAAATGATTTTGAAAAATCTCAAAAACTGCGTTATAATCGAAAATTTATGATAAAAAATTTTCTACAATTCAATTCCCAACAGAAATACTTTTAAATGTCCTATTAATTGTTAATCTACGTAGAATTATATTATTATAAACGCTAGACGTTATTTTATAGAATAAAGCTCCAAATTCACAATCATATGTACGCCTTATGGCAAGTTAATTATATGAACGAATGCGGAACTACTGTCATTTGCTTGCAACAATCGTCGTATATTAATCAAATCAACTTCCGTTGGAAAATACGAGTCGTTATCTTTTATTCCATTATCGATAAAAAAATATGTCGCATTATCTAATAAGTAATTATAAACTTTCAATAACAACCTAGGAGCGTATTTGTCTTTTATTCATCAAAAACAAAACTTAAAAGAAAATACTACCGTCTTATCATTAACAATATGGAATCGTGTGTTCTTTATAAAATTATTTCTTTTTTTAAAGAAAATAAATTTCACTTTTGTAGATACTTAGCACACTCCGAGTCACCAGCTATGGATGTCAGAAATATTTCATTAACTAAAGAATATGCCATCAATATTTTAAAATGTGATAGTGCATAGAACAGATAAAAACAAAAGTAAACTTGAATTAAAATAGAACATCAATGAAGGTATCAAGAGCTGTTATATATAACTGAACATACTATAACAAATATTAACAGGAAACATTATGAATTCGCTATTAAATTTCTTGACGTATGCAAAAACTATTTTTGTATTTGTTGATTTTTCTAAATTGCTAAATAAGATAAAAACATGAAAGAGAAGTGTAATTGCGATCTAGCTGATTTTGTTATTTGTTGAGACTTTAGATATCTAAAAATATGTTCGTTTCTGCTAATAAAAACTTTCTTTTTTCAAGTAACAATACATTTAATAAACACTTCTGAAAAGTGCGAAATATATTCAGTATAGATAGATTTCATTGTGCTATGATACAAGTAACGCTCATCCTGTGGATTCGCTGACCCTTTTCTGAAAGAATGGTATTTCATTCTGAATAAGTAGTAATAATTTAGCATGATTTCGGATGATATTTCGTCAATATGTGCAAGAAAACACAAAAAAAGTAGATACATCTTGGCCATGTCATTGAGAATGATTTCGGTTTTTGATGTCGGAGAAAGTAGGTGCCGATCGTGAATGAACACTGTCAGACACATATATCAAGACACGAGTGTCCCAGTACAAACATGAAAGATTAATAAAAGTAGTTAGAAGATGAGAAGGGTGTGAGTGTGAGTGCGGGTGAGTTATACACAGATTACCCACACCCTTAAAATAGCCTTATTACAGAAACTGTTGATCTGCTCTCATTCGGACTATATTCGATCCAGTTAGCAAGAAAATGTTTCTCTATATTGTATATTAATTTATCACTAAAACTTATTCATCTAATAAATAAATTCTATTTCTTATCTCAGTGTAGCTTTTGTCATCACTCTTTTGCATTCTCTTTCTTCAAACAAGTAATTTCATCAATATGAAAAATTGATAACATATCATAGATATAAACTCACGTAAAATGAAAGAAGTAAAGCAACAACACATTTCATTTCACCAAAATAAAACGTCCCACAAGGCCATCGCAACAATTTTAACCAATGTCGAATAAAATGCCTGCTAGTTTTGTTACATTACCGGTAGAACTGGTCTACAGAATTATGGATCATCAAACCGGTTTTACAATGCTGTGCTCAATGCAAAATGTGTGCCAACGGTTCAATGCAATCCTCAACAGTTATTATCGATACCAGGTGAAACTTTTTTAATTATGATTGTCTACTTTTCTTCTATCGTCGAATTATTTCTTGTTCTTTCAATCTATACGTCCGAGAAGATATGAGTGAATGAAACGATGATGAGGCATACTAATTCATCAAGTATTAATTTCTTCGAAAATATAGATCTTAAACATTTACACAGCTATGAAAGGCAATACCAAAATCCAAACAAATGTCTACTCAAAGAAAACTATGGAATTTCAAGAGATTTAAGCGACAGTAATATCACTTATGAGGGTGGTACACGAAATGAGCAAGAACCTTTCAGTTGATATTATAACCATAAATAGGAGCTGCTAAGATTAGTGAAAGGCTAAAAGGATATGAGCCCATAAACGAGTTTTTAGGAGTTACGGTTATTTTACTGAATTTTTCCACGTTAGACTTATACTATCCTAAAAGTCAAAGAACACAAGAAATGTAAGATATACTAATAAGTGACACTGCTATTGCTTGAAAATGCCATGAAATTGATAATATGAGAGTGGGTGTGAACGAGAATCTGATGAGGCAGACCAATAAAACTTATGACGGATCTTACGGGATCCTATGAGATCCGACAAAATCCAATAGGAATTGGGGGAACACAACCACATCAGATTCCGTCACCTGAAATCTAGTTACCATAAATTTTATTAGTATCCTTTTTATTAGCATTAGATGTAGATTTTATAATACTATAGGATTTTGACAGAACATAAATTAGACCATATAGAAACCGACCATTGGAATAATCGCCCTTGAATTGCAACAGACAACGTGAGTGTGACTGCGCGAACGCAATTACCACAATAAACAACGTGAAGCCAACTCAATTTGATGATTACCTAACACTGCTACATTTTCTAGAATGCCCTCGCTTTTTTTGAAATTCATAGGCTTCTTCAGAAAGTCTTAGTTTTACTTACTCCTGTCTCTTCAAATCCATCAATTTTGTTAATTGTTTAATTTCTACATGAGGCGTAAATCTCGCTACAAACAAGTAATCATCAAAACGCAGATGAGAATACCGTTTTCAGATATGCGGCAAAATTTATTGAAGTACTATCAAATTATAAATACTCTCCTTGCAGCAAAACATTTAAGGTAGACCTTGTTTGCTATTCTACTACCTCACTTGTCAATAACAGTACAGAAGCATCCGTTGACATATATCATGATAGAAGCGTCTCCCATTTGATTCGGTTCCTTGAATATTATGAAACATTCAGAAAGAATAGGTGAATATGTCGAGCAATATCTCATCATAAATTCATCCGCACTCAAACAATTGACTCTTTCTCCCCCGTAATATTCTCCTCAAGGTTTTTACTCTCGAAGATGGAAGTTTGACAAAAAAAGACGAAACCGCACCTTTTCATTCTCATCCTTCCTGACCAGCTTTGACTAATATCTCATAAAATACTAGAGTTACTCCTCATACCTCTTCATCTATTTTATATATCCATCTGCACCTTTTCATACAGACACTTACCACATTAGATCTCGAGTGGAATAAAACTGGAGATGTTGGAGCACAGCATCTAGCAGATGCATTACGAAACAATATGGTAACTATCATTCGCTTCTTCATCGATTTCATATATCCATCAGCACTATTTCATACAGACACTTACCAGATTATATCTGGAGTACAATCAAATCGGTGCTGTTGGAGCACAACATCTAGGAGATGCATTACGAAACAATATGGTAACTATCATTCGCTTCTTCATCGATTTCATATATTAATCTGCGCTCTTTCACGCAGACACTTACTGAATTAAATCTCTCCGACAATACACTCGGAGATGTTGGAGCACAACATCTAGCAGATGCATTACGCAATAATACGGTAGTTATTATTCTGTGCCTTATGTATTTCATACATCAATCTGCACTTTTTCATTCAGACACTTACCATATTATTTCTTGAGTGCAACCAAATCAGTGCTGTTGGAGCACAGCATCTAGCAGATGCATTACGAAACAGTATGGTGACTATCATTCGCTTCTTGATCTATTCCATATATCATTTGTACTTTTTCATACAGACACTTACCACGTTAAATCTCCAACGGAATAAAATCGGAAATGTTGGAGCTCAGCATATAGCAGATGCATTGCGAACTAATACGGTAATTAATATTCGTTTCCTTATACGTTTAATACATCAATATGCACTTTATCATACAGACACTTACCACATTATACCTCAAGGGCAATCAAATCAATGATGTTGGTGCGCAGCATCTAGTAGATGCATTACGAACTAATACGGTAATTAAGATTCTTTCCATCGTCGATTTCATATCGTCACCAAGTACGTTAAGTAGCGAAATAAATCTAATCAGTTGCGAAATCGACGATCAAATCGATGGGTTATTGGACGGAACAGAAGAATGGGAAAATTACCAACGATATACTGCGGATGATGACTACTTCCAAACCTAATGATGAATTTTTGAATCAGTTTCTATGTTTAGTATCAGCATAATAAAAGATAAATAAACCGCTCACTTTACTTGCGATGTGTGCTGTAAGAATATAATTGGCATCTGTTTTTATTGAGAGGTGATGCTGTTCATATGGTGCCTTTTTTATAGCCATGTTTGTGATAAGATTGGAATATCTCCGGATGTACGAATGGATGAGAGATAGAGAGTTAATATTTCGTTGTTAGAAAGATAGCCTTAATATTATTCATCACGAATAGGAGCGTGAAGCAATCGATCTTTAACTAGCGTTTGGTTTGGAATTCATGGGCATGGTTGATAACTGAGAATCTGTGCGTTTATGTAGAATTTCTTGCGGTGACTGTTGAATTGTACGTTGGCATCGTAATAAAATGAAAAGAGTTGC